AGTAGAAGAGCATACTTCCAAGCACCATAATTTTTTCTAACAAGGCCTTCTTCATCTGTACAGCCTAGTTTCTCTCATTTAGTGCACAGACATACATAAGAAGTGGGAAATCTCAGGCCAAGTGGGTGTCTAATTAACCCTTCTTACTCCATAGCTGGCATTACTGCCCAAGTCTCAATATTGTCAAATCACCAGCTGAGAGAAACGTTTTTCAGAAATCTTTCACCAAAGAATGAGTAAAAAAAAGGATATTAAAAGGGACAACCTACATGGGATAGAGAATAAGCAGAATGAATAATGTAATTTCCTTTGAGTGTATCTCTGCTGTTAGTTGAAAGAACAGCTAAGATGCAAACATTAGTCTGATATTTCTTCTCAAGCTTGGCTGCTTAAAGCACTTTCCTATAAAATTCTGTGTTTACCTAAGCCCCTAGGGGAAAAGCCACCTTCCCCTCCCCTACCCCTAGTGGAGCTAATGAGCCATGCCTGTTATCCTCCCAAAACTCTTGTTTCAGCAGAAATTAATCCACTTTCTTTGGCCTTTGGTTCTAACACATGCCACCACGTTAAGCCAGGAAAATGAACCTTTCTTGCCCTTTTATGCTCACTGGAGACTGACAGATAGGTAGTATTTCTTTGTGTTTTCTTTAGTCACTATGTAGTTTGACACTAAATTTAAACCAGCTTAATTGCTCACTGCTACCCAAAGAGCCAGTCTCATCCCTTTCCTGCCATCTCATTCCCAACTGTACGACTGCCCTGTCTCCTTTGCATGGCACTTGTCCCCATGGTGCCTTCGTTTAGAGTTCTAGATTTAGAAAAAAATGAACCCTGTAAAAATCTGTTAATGTAATTACAGCTCCCATTGGGGGTCAATCAGGTGCCCATGGTGGTGGAAGTCTGGGGCAGGAGCACCTTCATGGCCTGAGAGGGGAGAGATTGGACAGCCAGTTTCAGCAGTGACACGGTGTTAGGTCAGCTTAGCTGTCTTGTCAAACTAGCCTTGGTATTTTGTAGAGGGTAGCATAATTGCTATTCCACAATAAACCTGTGGTGAGTCAGCCTGTATAACTGAATTAACTTTCCCAGTGAATCATGTTTCTAATGTGGTTCATTGGGCATGGCTGTGCAGACCATCTGTTAGTGGTGAAGCTGGTGTGTATGCCTGACACACCACCCTCCTCTTGGTGCCACTCTTCAGGCCTGTGGGAAGAATGAGGTGGGAAAACTGACCAGTACTAAACATGATTTCATTTTTCCTGCCAAATTATTTGTAGGCTGGTCTTTGGCATGTCCTGAAAGACAGTTGTAGCAGCATAATTAATGGGGCAAAACAAGGGCTGGAAAGGTGATGGAGGAGTGGAAGAGAGAAGGAGCGAGGAACTGCTTAAGCAGATATTGGCACCAAAAGAAATATCACTATAACCATGGCTGTGGTAAGGATTTAGAAAAGGCTTTCCTTTATCTAAAGTGTAAGGAACATTTACATTTGGAGCAGAAGGTCTGAGTTTAGCCACATTGTCAACATGCCACACGGTGAATTGTTGTGACAATCTCAAAGATTAGCAGGGTAAGGCAACTTGCTTCTTGTCAGTCAAAGGGGGTGCGACTCTGAGCCCTGAATATAGGGGAAGATAAAGCAGCTGTCTGATCAAAGCTGGCAGTAAATTAGTTTTTGAAGGACCTTCTAGGATTAGATAGCATATTCAGCATTTGTAGGTTACACAAGATGCATGGGGGAGCAAGAGACTGAGAGCAAGAGTAGCATTTTACAGCTATCATCTGTCTGAGAACATGCACACCTCTGAAACCTCTCAGCTGGAGCAAACAGCCTGGGTAGATGACAGGACAAATCTGAACCTGAAAAAGATTGGATTTCTATACATAAACCTGCCTAAACATCTAAAGAAGTTATGCTGGCATCAGTCTAAATACAGCTCTGTTTGCTGGTATCTTTAAATAAATGCTACTGCATAGAGACCTGCGGAGCCAATGCACCCCCAGATTCCCAGCAGGGGCTTACTGAAGCAAAAGGAGAATAACAGAAGAATCAATCCCACAGTATGACAGTGATCTTTTACAAACAGCTTTGAAGCACTTGAATGTGTAATATTTTGTGATTGCATGTAAAGTTCTCTGATGTCTTTCAGAGCAATTTAAAATCTTGCCATATGCTTCAACCTTCTTTTTTTTTGTGTCCGTGGGTTATGTGCAAATCTTTAGGGTGACTGCTAGAACAGTTGTGAGCATATTGGATGCCTGCATGATTCAGGGAGCAACTTGAAATGTGCTCAGCATCCCACGCTGACTATAGCCCATTGAACCAGAGAGCTCTCAACACCTTGCCACAGCAGGCTCTTAACAAGTGGACTGCATTAGGTTAACTTCATTGGAAGGAAATCAAGTACTGCTCCCTCAAAATCGCCTGTGCCTTTCTGTCCAAATTTATTGGGGCTGACAGACTTTCAAGTAATTCTTTAGTGCTACTTTGCTCCACAGTGTGTGAAGGAGGAAGTTTGTCATGAAGAGTGTCCTGAGAGGCAGACCCACAGGGCATGTCACTGACACCTCAGGTTCTTAGGAGAAGGCTAAAACCAGTTTGTGTCAATGCTCCCTGTTAGCTGCTCTAATTTTCTCATAGAAACATGACTGTCACTTTGGCTTAATTACATTGTTTCCTAACATACAATATTGTTCAGGTTTTGTTTTCTTGTCTGTGCTTTGTGTAGTCTGTAGTAGACCAAAATACTGTCTTTTTAATAAATGAAAACTGGTATTACACATTAATTATATTTCTTATAGCCCCTCAAAACAGAGCTACCTATAAACAATTTTGTGTACTTCCTTAGCAAAAAAACCCATTCATTTAATGCTAATTTTGAACAACTTTCTAGTCAGAACAAGATCACCTGAAGAATTTTTCATGTCTACAGAGTGCAAACACATGCTACATAGCATGTTACAAACCTTGAATATTTCATGTGTGTAAATATGTTTTATTATTAAAAGTTTGCTTTATGTCCTGTGAGCCCTGATCTTTATTTTAGGACTTTGTTTTACTTCTAGCTGTCTCAGTTACTAAATTTAAGGCATACAGCTCCAATTCGCAGCTCAGTCACCTTCTATCTAAAAAGAATGTTTCACTTGTTTCCCCTGAAAAATTCTGAATTTTTAATTATCAAAGGGAGCTGTTTATCGTTGTTTGAGGTGTTTGTTTGACAAGCAGTCATGCAGAAATAGTGCAATGTGTAGGCTCCCAGTATAAATAGAAGCAATCATGATCCAAACTTCAGATAAGTAATTGGAATAATAAGTAGAAATAAAGACGCTTTGTCAGTTTGCATTCCTTTTTCTGAAGCAGCTAAGGGCAAGTGTAGAAACTGATCCTTATCTTTAGTTTTTCCTCCAAAATAAGGATAAAATTGGATTTAAGAATAAGAACTTACCATATGAATTTAGGTTTATGGAGGATGTATTCTAGACCATCAAAAATAGTATGCCTGAGGCAAATTTGCTTCTAAAGAAAAGAATGCAATAAAGCTTAGGGTTATACTGAAACTGAACTGCAATATGTTATGAAATAGCATGGCTCAGTAATTCCTGGATTGTTGCATTCAGATTTTCAGCCACTATGATTATATGCTGATTAAAAAATCCTCTGATAAATGCCAAGGACTAGTGAAACTAAGGGTCTAACTTTTTCTCCTGTCTGTACCAAGAAGTGGATAATAATTTGCCCTTACCAAAGACAGCATGGTGACCTGAAGCTATTTAATATATTTTAAAGAGATGGTTGAGAGTAATGATGATGAAAGTAGCCTCAGTGAAAAGTGACCATCATGCCTGTGTAAGAGACAATGTCTGACTAAGAAAGCTGTGAAAAACTGGTCCCTTTTCAGATGCTTTTCACTCTCTGACATAGGATCTAGAGGATGAGGTCAAAGGACTTATGTCTGGTCTGTGCAGTGTATGGCATGATTTAGTCACCTTCAGTACTGCTCTAAATTACAGCAGAACAAGCTAGTCTTCTGATTCTTCATTGTATCATCTACTGAACACCAAAGTCTGTTTGGATTATTCTTTTCTACAGGTTTGTAAATATTCTGGAACTAAAGAGTAAGCAGATGCAATCCATTTTTTCTTGTACTGACAGTTCTTGTTTGTAGACTAGTTGTAGAAATAACTCCAGGACATCTGACATTCATATGAAATGTGTTGGCAAAATTTGTCATGAATTGATTTAATTTCTTCAAGTTTCTTTTTGGTTCTTTTTTTTTTTTTTTTTTTTTTTCTTTTCTGTGGGAGTATTTCTATTTTTTCAATCATTTTGGAATTTGGAAGTTTATTCATATCTCCTTAAGCGTATAATAGTTCAAGGAACACATAATCCCTTTCAGGCAGCAGCTTTTATAGCATGTGGTGGGTGCCTCTGAATCAGCATCAAATGCTGGCATCTCCACTTCCTCCTTCATCAGAAGTAGTGAAGTTTCATCAGAACTAGAGAAAAAAAAATATTTCAAGAGAAGATAAAAAGTGGTGTTCCTTTCTTCAGGGAAAAAAAAAAGAAAACCAGATTTAATATTAAATGGAAGAACACAAATCCACTTTTCAAAATCATCCTGTGTACTTTCTTCAAGCATTACACATTAGAAACCAGATTTTTTTCTCTGAGGATGGACACTGTTGATAAATAATAATGATATTTTAGTATGTTTTTTCATAAACCAGAGTTCCTTTCCCTGAATATTTGTAATGTGATTTGATGTTTCTTCCATGTGTGGAAACCTTGGATCCAGAATATCCTGTTTCTGGCAGATCTAGAAAAGAACAAACTTCAGAATAATGGAGTTCTTAATCTGTGCAGTCACATTAATAAAATGTCCACCAACCTACTTTCTCCAACTTTCTGATCCATTTGATGTAACTACTGGCAAAAATATTTGAGTTCACTATTTAGAAGATGACTTTTGAGCTCCTGAGGTTGGTACTCTGTCTCTCAGCCTCATACAGGACAAGAAGCAGGTGCCTGGCAGCTTTCCTTCCTTCCTGCCTTCTTTGCACCCTGGTTTTCCTGGGATATCACCCCTGTAGATGGGCCAGGGAGGAGTCACCAAGGTGAGTGAAATATTCTGGGTGTGGTCCTGAAGAGGGTTGAAAGTCTGTGTTTGTTTTCCTGCCTGATGTTCACATCTCAAATAATTCCACTGTATCTAAATCTTCCTCCTCCAAGCTTCAAATCCCACTGTTCAACAATCTGAACTCTGCAAGAAATAATTCAAGAAAATGCTTCGGGCAGTGGAATGTAAGAAGATTTCTGCTTGTAATGGGATCCCAGTATCACTTAAATTCATGGATAATCTGATCCTTTTTTCTTCTTTAACTGGATATTTATAAGATAGAAAATCCACAGTGTTTCAGCTTTCAGGAGCTTAGTGGGAAGAGCCCATTATACTATAGGTAGGTATTATCCTCATCTCTCTTGCTAACCTCCCAGGTTGAAATAACAGCCTGAGAACAGGTCACTTTATATAAAATAATAACTGTGAAGGATTCACGGCTTTGCTCTTCCCAGATTATGAGCCCAGACACAAAAGTCTGACCGAAGCAATGGAGCCTTTACAAAACCTTTCCAGAGGAAGGGCTTGATGTCTAAGCTGTTTTCCCATCCCAACTCAAAGAAAGGTTTTTTTGAGATCAAATATCAACAAATAAACCTTTAGCTAAGCTATGGGAATAAAACCAAGTTATTTTGGCCAGTAATAACATCACAGTTGAGTGAAGAAGATGGAGAAACCTGGATTTTTAGGTCTTAATTTTGCCTCATATTTCTAATACTCTTTGAAATTAACAGATGACATTCTATCTTATTTTTACTTTATTTCACATTTAAATTTTTCATCAAAGACACATCATTTTTCAGTGTTGAAATCAATATTCTGTGATAACTTAATTCCATTTCTGGATGCAGCAGAACTAGATTCCTTTCCACACTAAATGGAAACAGAGTGCAGGGTATTTAATATCCTGTCATTGAGACAGTGCAGGCTGCTACTATACAGTGAGTAGTATGTAAGTATATGAGTTTTGAAAATTAAAATGAGCTGGTACACTAACAAAAGAGTAAGATATAAGTATAGTAAATGTTTTTACAACTAAGTGAGGCCATTTGAAATAATTACAAGCAATTTGAATTTTTTTAACTATTTATTTTAGTGTAAACTGTGGAACCAACCCTTCATAACATTAATACTTTGAAATTATTGATTTTCAAATACTGAAGCAGGCAGAGCATAAAGCTTAAGACTGTAAGACAGTAAAGACAAATCAGATTTGTTTAAAGATCTATATTTTAAAAAGACAATACAAGTTCAGTGAAGCACAGCTTGTCTTAAAAAACAGACTTTGTTCTGTGTGGAAAGAGTTCTGTCATTTAATATATGTATAGCTTTTATTTTCATGAAAGAAATACAGGATTGCTTAAAGGAGGTGGGCATTCATAGCCTTGTTAGTTATAACGATCTACAGTCTCAGCCTGTTGAATTTAAGATATAAAGCTGTTTTTAACTTCATATACTTTGTATACCCAAATAAAGTAAATACTCACTTGGGCTGGAGCAGAGCGGTAAACAACCTGACTATTTGCTTTCATAATCTGAATTTAGCACCTGTTATTGCTCCTTTGTTGTCCAGTAGTATACTGGGTCTGGCTGGGGTGGAATTAATTTTCTTCCTAGCATCCTGTGTGAGACTCCAGCTCTGATTTGTGACAAGACCAGTGTTGGTAACATGCCACTATTTAGCCACAGCTCAATGGTGCTTGCATAGAGTCAAGGCCTTTTCTATCACAGTCTGCCCCAGTGCAAGCAGTTTGGATTGGACAAGAGTTTGGGATGGGACACAGCTGACCCTGACTGGCCAAGGAGATATTCCATGTTGTATAACATTGTGTTCAGCAATAAAGTAGGGGGAGAGTCTTTCCAAGAAAACCATCACTAGGAAAGTGGCTGAGCATCCATCTGCTGGTGTGAGGTGGTGAGTGATTGCCTTTACATCATGTGGTTTGACCTCCTTTTTCTTCACTTATTAAATGGTCTTTACCAACACATGAGGTGTTTTTTTTCACTTTTGCTGCTCCAGTTCTCTCCCCCATCCCACTGTGGGGAGAAGGAGTGAGAAGTTGTATGAGGCTTAGATACCAGTCAGGTTAAATGCACCACTAATATCAGATGCTTTCAAATATTTCAGTTCAGCAGAATATGGTATTCTGGACTAACAAGGTGTATAGTAATGAAAATTCCAAGCTTCAACTTTGATATTGATGTCAATAATCAACTTTATTCTCACAATATAACCAATGTGTGGGCTAAGTATTCCTTCCTTTTTATTTTCTCATTTTTCTCATTTTTTAATTCTGTTGACATGGGCACATATTTCAAGACTTTGAACTCATATGTATTTCTTAAACCTAATCTGCCAAGGAAGCATGAGAAGGCTGTGGATTTTGAGTGTGCCATGTACTAGGATCAAAATGGAGGGTCCATGTACCTAATTTACACAGAAATCGGATAGCTTGGCCTGCAGTGTCTATATATAAATGTCTTCATTTCAATGCTAAGTTACTCAAAAGCTGGAGAGTAGGGCAGAAAATGTGACCTGGCATTCTATTATATATACAGCATTTCCTGAGTTATCTTGAGAAATCTCTTCTAGTACACAACAGACTGTATTGCTCTTTCTCTACGCTATACAGAAATAAACACTTCAACATTGTAGGCAGTATGTTCATCAGTGGTCTGGAAGTAAGCATAAAGTCATCTCTTGGTAATGTTTGCTGATAGCATGAAGGCCAGCAGAGCGTTAAATGGTGATAAGTTGTAGAATACAATGCAGTAAACCTTGCTGACTCCATAAAGTTCATTTTGACTCAGCTAACTGCACGCTTATTCACTGAGGAACAAGGGATCAAAGCCATACTGTCAGCACAGAGAATTCTGGCTTCTAATTAGCTGATCAGGGGTCATATAGGATGGGCAGTTGAGTAAGAAGTCATCACTTGAACACGAATGTAACAAGTAATAGTAGTTACGAGTTACAAGATGTATCCTTGTATATGGCATTGGTCAAGCTGATGCTGGAGGAATTTATCTAGTCCTGATGTCAGCATTTTTGAAGGGGTATGGAAACATTGAAGTAAGTTCAGAAAACAGCCACAAAAAAGTTTTTGCTTGAGGAAGTGGGAAAAATGCCTTCTGGTGAGAGACTTGGAAGCTCATTTGGTGTAATGTCTAAAGGGAAAAAAGAACTGGGAGCTGGCTTGATTCTTTAAAGAAAAATACTTAGAAAAAAATTGGTTTTTCCTAAGGGACTCTTTAATCTACCTTAGAAGGACATAATTAGAACCACTAACAAAAATCTGAAGGTGTGTAAATTCAGAGGACAAAGAACAAGTCCTGAACAGAAAAATGCTTACCCCAGAAAGAAGTTTCTGAATGTCCTAAACAGGATAAGATTTCTTTGGTCAACACTCAAGGACAGCAGTATCGTAAGAGGACAGACTAGACCAACACAAGTTCCATCCTGGCTTTATGAATTAATGAACCTATGTGTTTTATAACTACAGAAGAGAAGAGGAATCTCACAAACCTGTAACTTTCATCACTAGACCAAGTAGCACAGGCCAGGAAAATCAGTGCATGTTACGAGAGAGAGAATGGAGCTAAATTGAAGGAAGCATACTGGGGTGTGATGCCAGCTTGCTTTCACAGTGAGGCCTCAGGTGAAATCTAGTTCTACTACCTGTGAGTGCTTCTTTTTGTAATTGATGATTTGGTGTCTTTTCCACTTCTGTTTGGGGCTTTGAGTAGTGAATTCACTATCCTCACATGTTGTTTTGGACTTGTCTATCTCCTGCAGTTTCTAGCTGTGGTGAATATCTCAAAATAAGAGGAAGCCTGGCATCCGGCTTGGCTTAATGCAAACACAACTCAGAAGTACAGTTTTGCAAATGGTATAAATCAACACTACTAGGCTAATTATTTAGCTTGTTTGCTGTTTTCTGGGGGGAAAGCAGGACTAGTTGCTTTTTAAATTCTTATATGCAACTTACGCCCTGTTCTTACGTCTCTTGTTCAATGCTAAATTCCACAAATCTTGTGGGATTGAAGAACAGACTTCCAAGAGACGAACACTGTTGTTCACTCAGGAGTTCTTTATCCATCTAGCAAGTTACTTTTAAAGTGCTACTACTTTTTCAGCATTGAGTGGTTTTTCCTTTTTTTAGTAAAAAAAATGATTAATACTTTCCTGTGGATACTTACCACAGCATATATTTCCTTACACAATATTTTTCTGTTGGTAAAGTGAGCCTATTTTTCCCTGTGTTTTATGACTATGAAAGCTTGAAAACTACAGAGGAAAAGTTAAAGACAAGCTCTCAAAAAAGTTTGGTGACTTAACTTGGGCTCCAAAGCTGTGGGTTCAAAGCCCATCCTGGAGCTTGAACTGGCAGACGGTAACACAGTTTAAATCCTTCCTGTTGGATACATCATTCAACAGAAAACACAGACAATGGTCTGACTTCTGATGGAAGAGTTCTCTTTCCAAAAGTCTCCTTGCTCTCTACCAAAAGAGATACTATTTTCTACTGCAATCCCAAAGATCTGGATTAAAGGTAGGGAGTTTACTTGCATCATAGGGAAATTTGTCCTTAAGCCACAGAATAGTGGAGCCTGTAGTGGAGCCTGTCCCAGTGCAGGCATTACTTTTCTTCCCCCTTAATGATCAGAATCCATTAGCAAGGCTTAGCATATCCAGATTGATCTTGCTTGAGTTATCTCTGTCCAGTTCCATTAGCACAAAACAGGGTTCTGCAGTGTACAAGGTGTTCTGACTGTCCCCTGCCTCAATTCTGTTCTTTTGTTTCACATACACTAAAGAACCCCATAGGCTCATTTTAAGACATCTCTGGCCACTCTGCAGAAATGAGCAGATTTTTTCACCACATGGACAGGTAATTTAATTCCATATTTTATAACTGCTGTGATTTACAACTACTGTGATTTATAACTACTGTGTTGGAGTTATAATACTCAAAGCTTCCTCATAAACTATAGTCA